TTTGTGTTTGTTTTATTCTAATGGAGGGGTAAAATGGTAAAAAAGAGACGAAAATGACGTTTTGCGCAAGAAAATGCAAAGGTAGGGACGTCCTGCACCAAAACATCATACGTAGGGACGTTTTCCATACAACCCGTCATAGGTAGGGACGTTTTGCGCCAATTATCCTAAAATAAACAATTGTTAATTTAAGATTAAAAAAATGCATAATTAAGATTCTGAAGCATGAGACACAAGAATTCAAATTAACCACACCATCCAACACTTGTTTTGAAATTGGAAGACTAGAGAGTCACAATTATAAATTATTTGGCCTGATTTCCATTTCAAAAATTTTTAATAGTTATATTGAATTATATTTGGCCCATTTCAGTTTTTTTTTTTTCAAACCTGGGATGTGGGGATGGTATGTTAAAGGGAAATGTTTATTATATAAAGGGAAAGGTCTATTAATTATTTGGCCCATTTCAGAATTTTTTTCTTTAACATATTGGCTGTGGGGATGGCCCAAAATTCAGTGCAGGCATATGCATGCACTAGGCCTGGGCAGGGTCTGCCACTGATGTGGATGGCAATGCCAAGATATATGTGATGTTTATGATTACGTGTATTATAACTCCGAGCATCAACAATGGTAGCCATATTACTTGTGTCCACCCTTCTTCACACTTTCGTTTGGCATAGATTGCTTCCCAACGATCTCACGATAGCAATAACAAAGAGAAGACAAGGGAAGGAGAAGAAAGTACCTTTAAGAAAGGGGTACGACATAAGAAGCTGGACAAAGCAGTCGCCTCTATCGATTGTTTCGAGTATGAGAAGGAAAAATTCAGTAGATAAGGATAGGGATGGGCAGAAATAAAGATAGAAGACATGCTATGAAGTTTATAATCAAAGCAGCAACTCATTTAATGTATCATTAGAATTCCCCAATATTAAAAGATAATAAAGTTAAACAGTATTCGTTTTGACAATGATGGGTAATAGGTATGAGAGGAATATTTGATTGAACCACTTTATCTAAAATCTTAACATGGTATCAAAGTAGGTAAAAGTCCTCAGATTATGTGTTGCCGCCACCCATTTAATTAGTTGTGTACATGTTAAGTTTTGATGGAAAAAATAAATCATGTCTACATGTTAAAGATAATTTTTAAATGATATACATTTGGCTCTATCTAATATATGCAGGAATAAACTAAAAACTGCAATTACTTCCTTCGTAATATTATAATGTTTTCATGCATATATTTTTTCCAACCCATATGTACAATCATTAGAACATCGGTACTTTACTAGTCGCAATATTCGATGTCACTGCTGTTTTTTGCAC